GCGACGGAAGGCGGTGGGCCGGTGAAGAAGGGGGAGCGAGAGGGGGGGGGGGCAATCCAAGGAGCCGCCCTTTACCTACACGCACACCTCATCCGAAGCCTCATACATTTTAGATACGCCATCGCGCTGCGATCCTACAGCCCCGCATCGCAATCACATTCCGTGATTGGGGCCGCAGTGGGAGTGGGCGTAGGGTGCGATCCAGCCATGCACGGGGTAGGGAGGGGCGAGGTAGGGTGGGGTGGGGGCGCGGTGGGGCGAGGCTAAGCGGGGTGAGGCAGGGGCGGGGTGGGTTGGGTTGGGGCGTCCTGCTAAGAGAAACGCACTCACACGATAACAGGTGCAGCCTGTCTGCCAGGCAAGCCCAACCGACGAGGTTCATCGACCATGTGTGCGCGGGGGCGGCCCTGGAGGCAGCGGACACGGAGGGGGGCGGGGAAAGGGTGAAATTCTAATCCCATTCCTGTGGCCCCGGCCGGGCCGGCCCAGGCCTGTCCGACCCCGAGGACTCCGCCCAGACGAAGCGCTGACACTCGGTGCGCACAAAGAGCGCCGCGTTGTGTGATACAGCCCCGCCCCGCCCCGCCCCCGGGGCCGGCCGGCAGCCCCTCTCACCTCGCCGTCAACATCCTAGACCCTCCCCCGCCCCTCCTGCCCACGCCGCGCTAAACTTAGCGCTCAGGCGGGCGCGCCGCCCGCAGCGAAGAGTCGTCTTCGGAACGCCGACGACGTCGTCGTCGTCAGGTGGGGACGAACGACGGGCAACCCGCGGGAGGGAAGACAGTTGTGGGCGCTCTTTTATATTCCAGGGCCGCGGGGGAGCGGCCGGGGAGTGCAACCTAATGACCCATCTCCGCCTGAAGCAAAAGGAGAAAACCAACCAGCCGGCCAGTAAATGTTGCTCGACCGCACGAGTCAATATACTGGGAGAGGGGGTGGCCTCGCCTCGCCCAAGCGCCACCGCACCCCCAAACCAGGCGGTGTCTACCCTTGGGATATTTCCTTACAAAAGTATATTGATATCCAATTTTTTTCGATGTAAGGTGACTTTTTTTGGAATTTTTTTTTCTAGAATGATCTTATTTTTTCCTATTTTTTTCTGGAAAACTTGGAAACTTTCCAGTACACTTTTGGAATTTGAAGCCCCTAGTTTGCCCACGCCCACAGAACACGGCCACTTTGCTGTACACCCTGTACTTGGTCTATCAAAGCGGACGCTGCAGTGCTGTTGGATTGCAAACCCCTCCGGGCACAGGGGCCATGATGGCTGCAAACTCGTAACGCTGCAGCGTCCTCTGATAGACCCAGGGCACAAACGCCAACCCGTGACGCTGTCAGATGGAACCGAAATCACCTTTGACTTATTGCAGGAGCGGTAAAAATAAAACAGACCAATTTTCTGCGAAGCCTAACGCGGAACCCGATACACCCGACCTCAAACCACCCTCGGGCCGAGGCGGGCCCTGCGGGGCTGAGGGGGCAGGGACCGGGGCTGGGGTTCGTCCCGGGTGCGAAAAGCAAACACTCGAAGTGCCAAACGGCTTTCGCACAAAGTGTCAAAGACTCTCCCCCCCCCCCTCTCCCCTCCTCCCGCTCACACCCAAAGGAACCCAGACAAGTGCGGAGCGCGGGATCACCCAGGATTGGGCGAGGCGGAACAATTTGACTTGGTGTCGCAGGTGGTGGTGGTGGGGCAGCTTAGGGGTCTCCATGTTCATGTCGGGAAGGGCGAAAAAAACATACAGAAATGGGCGGACGCCGTCGCATTCTCTCCTGGAACAAGCAGAACAGCGCGATACGACAGCGACGTCGACAAGACTTCCTCGAGCACACGCGGCAAGAAAAGAAGCGCGGCCCATGTACGGCCTGCAAGCACGCGATTTGTAATCGCCAAGCGTGCAAGTACAGCACGTCGCGGTGTACAGCGTGTGCTCCAATCTCGTACAGCCAAAAAAGCAAAGCATCAAGCCACACCGGTCCCAGGCGTCGGCCAACCTCGACCTTTCACCCCCCCCCCCCCCACCTTTCCCCGGCCGTTCCGCTTCTTTTTCGCTCCACGCCGGCGCTAAAACACTTCTTTGCAATACATTACTCACGACAAGCACATGCCACGCCACGACGGCGAGTGCCAATGACCGCGACGACCAAACTTCTACGTTTACGATTTACGTCAAACTAAGTATGCAAGGCGCTTCCGCGTTACACGGGAGACCTTCCCCCTCTCCCTACCCCCTACCCCAGTGTCCTCCCTCAAGAAAACGCGCAGAAAGCCCAGCAAACGTGGAAGGAGACGAGGCGCGCGCGCAAATTCAGCACTGATACTAAGAGGAACTTTCCTAAGCCCCATTCACGCGGGCCGAAGAGTCACAAAGCACTCGGCTCGGCAGCGCCTGCTGCTGCGCCGGCTCCGCCCCGCGGCATGGCAGCGGCCTGCCGGGCCTGCCATCCCAACCCCGGCGGAAAATGAGGGCTCGGCGCGGGAAACAAGCCGGCTGCACGAGCGGCAATATCCCACGGTGACAAAACACCAAAGGAAACTGCTAAGAGACAACTTCAGCAAAAAAATACATAGAGATTTCTTTAGTAAAAAACAAACTGAAAAACTTTGTTTGGCAAGAAAAGAACAAAACTCGCCATAATTTGTTTGTTTTCGTCAACGCTTCCTTCACATAAATATGCGAGAAAAGAAAAGGCGAGCAGTGAGAGCAGGGCGTTGCATCCGTATGTTTGAAACGGGGCCAAATCCACGCGATCGCCCATTTCCGTTCCGATGCAGACAGAAATGCTTGTAGAACTACGATTGCTTGTTGGTTGCGTGTTTCACTCGACAAATCAAAACGTTATAACGAGATGTACTGTAAACTGTAAAACTACAGTCTTGCAGTTTAAACTTCATAACTGAAAAGTTTAAGTAAAAATGTCATGTTGTTGAACAGTCAGATATTATGGGAGAAAATTCACCCCTCCCTCTCATTTCTCTCTTTCCCCCGAGTCACAGTTCACGGGCTGACTACAGACAAAACATTCCCATAAACTAGAAAAAACATTACGAATACCTATTTTTTGTCGAGTTATTTTAATAAACAAAATCGAGTCATACGGCGCGGGCACAATTTTCCGCACGCTTGAGCCAAATCGAGTCGAGATTGTCCATCTGGCCGTGAAACGAGAGACGGCCGGCTGAAGGCAAAGCGAGGGGGCTTACTTGAAATTTTCGTGCATAGCACATCACATATTACGTGTATTACGCGGTATTGCGCCGGTGTGAAACAGGCTTTTGCAACCAAAATACTACAATTTCAGAGCTTGTTTTCTGTATTACGCAAGTGAAAATCCCCATCGAGGCAAAGGTAACACGGACAAAGAGAGAGAACACGGTGCGGAGAATGTGCGAATATATATCCTTGCGAGGGTGTGCCCGTTGTGGCCGGCTCCGCCCGAGGCTCCGCCCGGCCTGCTCCGTACAGCCACCCGGTACTGTACCACCCGCCACCCCGGCTGTTACGTAAGAGCGGCCGCCTGGCCACCGCCTGGCTACCCGCACCCCTTACATGACGGGGGTGAGCAGCCACCGGCCTGACGACGGGGCCCGACCCGACGGGCTGCATTAGGTAACGCCTCTCTGGTGCAATACCAACAAAATTGCGACAAAAAAAATTGAACAAAAAACAAAAACAAACGTACTCGGGGCCATGACACGAAATAGAACTGGGAGGGTGGAGTGGGTGAGATGGGGGTGGAACAGGATGCAGGACACAGCAATCACCTTGCTGCTGCTGCGAATGCAGGTCGGGCAGGGAGGGGGCGGGGGCGGTGCGGCAGGACCAGGCGGGGCAGGAAGCGACAGATATGACTGACGGACCAGCGAGAGTGACATGCAAAGGTTCATGGTCCAGTTGGTATGCACCTGTCCAACCCCCGCAGCAACGCTGGCCGAAAGAGTGGCAAATTGAAGGATATGCGTTATACAATTTTTTAGGCCACATTAAAGCGTAGCAGTATAATGAAAACCATGCATGATTGGATACTAGAGAGGAGACAGACACCCAGCAGCAAAACAGGACAAGAGAATGGATGGAGAACTAGAGGGGGGAGTGAGTAAGGGGGAGGGGGGGAGTAACGGCAGGGGAAAGGGAAGAAAATGGGGAGGGGAGCAGGGGGAGCAGGGGGTGCCGGGTCCCTTTCGTTTCCAAGTGACAGCCTCCATCGATCCCGCGAGACCTCCCGCGGCCCCCCGACAGACAGCCATCACTGACGGTACCAAATCAAAACACGCCAAGGCACTGCCACCCAACTGACCGGCAGGGCAGGTCGGACACACGCCCTCGCGGTGGTGGTGTGCGCTGGAGGAGGTTGATATTGTGACAGCCGCTCACCCTTGCCCGGGGTCGGAGGGGACCGGGGGGGGGGGGGTATCGAGTGGAGGAGTTCTAGCACCTCCCCCTCCTCTTTCTTCTCTCTCCCCCTCTCTCTCCGTCCCCTTTTCCGTTTCCTTATCAGGGCGCTAACGCCGGTAAAGTCCAAAGCAAACAGTCTAGCGCAGCCACTGACATGAAGTCCCGATTGAATCTAGCCCTCCCCGGGAACTGTCATGCCACCGCGATGCGTCGTGGCATAACTAAGTTTCATTCTGAAAAAGTTTCAATGCGAACGGAGAATGCACAGAGAATGACAATTCGTTCCAGCTAAGGTCGGATAAGAAACGTAACAACTTCTAAAACCGTCAACCGAGGGTGGAGGGGGAGGGGGGGAGGCTACATCCAAACTGCATGATGGCAGCGACCTCTGCTGCTGCAGGGTGCATCCGAGTGCACCGCAGGCAGGGCGCAGTCGGCCGCCCCGCCCCCCTGGTACCACCGGCACGTGGTGGGGCCCCGCGGAACGCCCGCGACGGGCGGGGCACGTCGCGCTGTCAATCCGAGCGGGGTGGGGTCCACGGGGTGCGCGGGGTGCGCGGGGGCACCCAACACGCGACACGACATGCAGACACTGGGGCTCACCTCCGATGGGCAGCACCCGCCAGCGGGTCTTCCTCTTGGTGCCCTTCTTGCCCATGCTAGCGGCGGCGCTGCTGCGACAGGCTTGGTCTCGGACACAACACTAGCACATTCACGACGCGACCTGCCCTTGGCGCGACACGTGAGCCGGGTCGGCTGTCTGGTCGTGTGTCCGGCTGCTCTCACTACCGCGTCGTCGCCTGGCAGGCCTCGCCGCTCCGCTCCGCCACACTACGCCACGCTCTGACTCGCACGCCGCTCGGCACTCAACTGGCCCGCCCGAGCTAGAGCCAGGTCTATCGTATCGAGCACATGTCCTGGCGCCCAGCGGCAGCGGCAGCCAGCGGAGCCAGCGCAGCTAGCGGCGGAGCTACGAGCCGAGCGTGAGCCGAGTGGCGGCCGAGCGGACCCGAACGCCCGGGACGTGGCGAGCCCGGCCGGCCCGCGAAAAGACCGGCCGGCTCAAATCGAGGCGCGCTCCGGGTCCGGCCGGGGGAGGGCCCTGGAGGGTCCGGCACGGAGGGGTCGGGTCGGAGGACAGGGCGGCAGCGAGGGGCCCCCGGCGCGGCCCCAGTCGTGGTGCTGTCGCGGCCCTGTCCCCTCCGCGGAGCTGCGTCGAGGAGTCGAGTGTCTGATGTCCGGGGCCCGGCTGGTTCGATTCGGTGGCTGCGCGACCGGGGCCCGGCGAGCACTGCGGCCGCTGCGCTGTACGGCGCCGCGGGGTGCGCCCCCTCCCCCCTCCCCTCC